CTAAAGGACACATGACTTACACTGTATGTACTTGGCTGGAGAGGTCACCTTACTCACAATGACAGCTTGGCAAGGTTGTGTAGAAGGCAGGGCAGAGTCATACCTTAGAGACTAACTAATTTGGAGATGCATCACTTTTTCTTAAGCAACAGCTCTCTTCATCAGATGAAATGAAAGGACTTGCAAGGAGCAGGTGTTCAAATAAAGTGATTTAAATACTATGGGGTGGAGGAGAAAAGAAGCAAAAGGTAGATTGAAGAGAAAAGCAAAGTAGTAAACCCATATGGACATGGGGGTTAAGAAAGCTAATTGAGATAATAGGATAAGAATGTTGTGTAGTGCAGCCTGGACACTGTTTGTGGAATAAGGTTTTGTAGTCCCTTGGGATGAATTATTGTAGTAAGGATTATGTTAACACTGATTCTTCAGAAACTTGGTATGGAGCTCAGGTAACTGTCCTGAAACTGCACACACTTGCTTCTCTTCCCAGAAATCAATCAAAGCTATAATCACTTTACCTGGGCAGAACTCTGAGCAGCCCAGACAGTACTTCTCGCAGTGCCTGCAGAGGGATGTGCCCGAATGTTGGAGTTTTGCTAATGCTGGACAACAACCTGCATGTTGGCTGCTGTGGAGGAGAGTTGGTGAATAATGCTAAAAGGCACTGCCTCATATTAGCTAGTCATGATCAGGAGGGAGGGTAAGACTTTTAGCAAGGCATCCTCAGGGTAAGAGCGGCTATCTTATTTAATAGAGATCTTTGAATAATTTCTGACTTTTTTTCCCCCCAGATGTTCAGTTCTCTCCCCTCTCCTGAGGATTCCCATGATTTTTGGAACCCTGGACTCAGTGCTTGTGAGTGGGGAGGTATTTTCTATCAGGGTTGACCAAAGGAGATGTTTAATTTTCTAAATAAGGGGTAGAACTACTGGTGTTTGAGACCAGGTACAGAAGTTACACTTATTGTGTGGTAGGTATGCAGAAAGCAGTCTACAGCCATAATCAAACAGATGGTCAAGGCACATAGAGCATGGCAAAAATGGTGGCTCCCACTCTAAGATAACCCTGGATGGATGTGGTCTCAGACTTCAGCACTGTAGCTTAGAGTTCTGCAACGAATGTCTGTACCATATCCCATTGCAACTCATGGTAGGTGGTATTCTGCCAGCAACTCATGGAGCATTGTAGCGCCCCATTCAGGTGGTGCTCTAGCCTTGGCAAGGAATAGGAACAGGAGAGAGAGTGTATGGGAGCCACTGATTCATGGTCCAAGGAGCCAGGAAAACATCCAGTGGGACCCGCTACAGGTAGCAGCCGTGCAGGAGGAGACGCATCAACCCCACCCACCTTCCAGGGCCAGCTCACTACCCCCAGATGCTGCCAGTCTCTGGCATACATGTAGGGCCCGAAAGAGGTTCCAAGCCAGTCCTGGAAGGGTGTGGGAGTGCTCAGAATAGGGGAGGGAGGATGGCCCACCTGCTTATCAGGCCAGGCCACTGTGTGGGAGCTGCACAGCCTCTGTGAAGATATGCAGCCCCCTAGATTGTGGTCCAAGTTCCAGAGAGGGCAACACTGCACAGTTTTTCTTTATTATGCACACAGAGTTTGGCAGTTGCAATATTTAATTAACCAAGGGGTAGAAGATTTGCATGCAGCCACCCCAGGGTTTTGTTTGAGACCCCATTGCTGCCCACCCCACCCCCACACTTACCATCATAACCGCCCTGCTCAGCAGGGTCTGTTCCCACTGTCTCAATGTTAACTGAGAAGAAAGTTCCGAGTTCTGGAGCGGGCAGTGTTGCACAGTTTTTGTTAATAAATACACTAAAGTTTGGCAGCTTCAACATTTTTCTAAAACAAGGCATGTCTCTTCCTTGTGCATGCCCCTGGTGGTGGTGGGGGTTGTACAGTTGGGGAAGGTAGGTGAGAATGTATGGTGTGGATTGTAACAGCAGTGCCCATGATGCAGGGCCAGAGAAGCCCATGGCAGGAGACTCATAGCCCAGTGCCAGGCCATGGGTCCTCAAAGCTCTCCAGCCCTACTTATCTGGGGAGGGCTCCCAGTTCATGTGGGTGATGAGCTACTTGGTCAGGGCTTTGTGGATCTGGACAGTCTGCCAAGGTGTGGGGCTGGGGCTGCCAATATTGCAGGTGGGGGGCAAGGAGGGGGGAGAATACATGTAGGTACGTACGCACACACGGTCAGCACAGCATGTGCAGGGTGGGCATTGTGGGACAGCCAGCCATTGCTTATGGCCATGATGAACTGCTGCTGCATTAGGTCCAGGTGGGCAGCTTTGATGTTTGTGCCAGCCAATCAGAGAGGGCTTAGCCGTTCAACTCTGCTCAGGAGACTTTGGCAACCCAGGGAGCCTGTAGGGCATACTGGGAGACATGCAAGATGCACCCCCAACCTGCTGGGCTCAGGCTATGCAGGCAGGCTCTGATACCTCCCCCCCCAATCCCCACTCCATAGGAGCTAAGGTGTGTTCTGCTTCTTCCTGACCTAAACTGGGGTGCTTAGAGTAAAGCTCATAGTTGGAGCACTTCCACCATGGGCTTCTTGAACATTTGTACTTTGCCTTAGTTTTCAGAAGAACATCCTAAAGAACTGATTCTGTCCCTTTATGGTGCCGAGTACGCTTGGCAAAAAGGCTATACCCATCTGCATTAAATCTTTTTTTCACATATCTTGGTGTTTCACTATGTCTGGGACTCTGGTTTCTGACAGAATCCTCACCAAAATTCATTCATTCATTCATTTCTACAATATTTTGGTTAGGGTTTAGTGGCTTATATTAGTTAATAATATAGACCAGTTCTGATATCTACTAGACAATGGGCACTAATGACTCCCCTTTCATATCTCCTGGTCTGAATCTGACTGCCAGAAAAACATTTTGGCTATTTCTTTATCAGTAATTTCTGGTATGATTTGAATATAATCCGTTTATGTGAACTTGTCTTAGTATTTTTTCTCTCAAACAATCAACCTATATCAACAACTTTGATTTTCTAAAAATAGTCTGCCATCTTTGGTATGATTTTCCCATTCAGAAATAGGGATGTTGCATTATTTAAAAATGCTTCTCATTCAGTTTCCATAAAGTTGTCTGGGGACAATGGCAAGGTCATCTCAGGGTAAAAGTCAAAACACTGTGATTTTACTTGTGATTTTGGCTTTACTTTTAGCGGTGATCATGTGAGGGTGTCATACTCTAGTGTGTTTTGCTCAAGGCCTGTAGTGAGGATTTATTTAAAAACTTCTGCCAGTTGCTGAAAGAGACTTGTTTGAGCAGGAGGCCTATATACCTATCAGCAGAGGTACAATGAGGGCAACAGAATGCATGACGACAGTGGCAACTTCCACCTGTTGCTGTACTGCCGGCAAGACTGTGTGCCTGTGAAGGCAGCTCCTAATTTATTTGGTCCCCCACACCAAGTCAGTGCCCAGGGCTGCTGCCCCAGAATCCCCATCCTAGTTATACTACTGCTTATAGGGGCATAAAGAATGCCAGCAGAGCTAGTAAAAGCTTTTTTATTAGAGATCTTTTTTCAAATTAATGCACAGACAAGGT